TGCACTTATTAATGATAAATGTTCATTAGATGTTAAACAATCATCACTTCCTAAAGTTTGAGGTAATGGTGATGAAACGATATTTGTATTATTTAATAGTATTGATGATGATGATGATGATGAACGTTTATGTTCATTTCATTCAATAACTGATTTATGTTTTAAATTTCTTAATAAATTAGCACGTCATAATGAATATAAATCTGTAGGTACACTACGTTGTAACGAATCATCATTTATATTTTGATGTTGTTCATTAGATCGTTTATGTTGTCCACAAAAATCAAATGGATAAAAAACTTTTTTATCATCTAATTCATCATGAAATCGTTTAATATGTTCAAATATAAAATATTAATGTAAAACATGTACATCAGGATGAAATAATGAACGATCAAATGATGATTGTTCACCAAGACGAAATGTACTTTTAAAAAATTGTTCACCTTGTACAAGTGTATAATAATTTGTTAAACCACCAAGATATGTTCATGATAATATATTAGAATTTGTTGCTGAACCAACATAAGTTGGACGTTTTAAATTTGTTAATCTTGTTGGAATATTTAATGTTTGTTGAGATTTAAGATTATAAAGAAAATGTAGTCGTTGCGAATGTTGATCATGTCAACGAAGAGATTCTAATTGTTTATTAATTGTAGTAGGTGTTGGTGGATGACATTCAAGTTTTGCATTAATACGTAATTCGGGAATACTAATTGAACCATCTTCTAACCATGAACCAAGATAAAGACGTAATAATTGTCGAATTTGTATTGTACGAACTTTTAAATTTAAATTTTCATTACATAATGATGTATGCATATTACACATACATAAACGAATAGGTGCTATCTAAAATAATAAAATTATGAAAGATGAAGAAATAAATAGAATATTTCTTACCTGAATATTAACAGCATTTATAACTTCAATGAGATTAAGATTAATTGAATCTAAACTAAATCTAAGTACATCATATTTAAGTTTTACAAAAATCCATTTTGCTTTATCAATATATAGTAAGCGAGCAAGATTATATTCATCTTCCATTATTTGTAAATAAAAATTTTTGAACAAAACCTAAGATTTTTTCTAACCAAAAAAAAAGAGAATGGTATTATTTATAAAAAAAAATTTCTTGTTTTTGATTTCCTACTTGAATTGTTGTTAAACGAGCTGAGATTTTACCAAGTATAATTTCCATTTGCCAAGCATATTCAAGTATTTCACGTTCAGGTGGTAAACCTACATGTGAAAGCATTGCATGACCACGAATACTTAAACCAGATGATTGAAGACATCCAGTAGATAAATGTTGATCTGTTTTATTTCTCTAGATGAAAGAGAAAAGAATTGTTAGAGTTATTCAGAGATCGATAAATATATCATTCATATTTATTCAGTGGCGGATTTAGGGGGGGGCGATGGGGGCGATCGCCCCCCCCTTCCGAATTTTTTTTTGATTTTTTACAGCAAAAATGAACGAAAAAATAGGTTCACACTACTTCGGTTGGACTCAAAAAATAACTTTTAACCAAAATCGCCCCCCCCCCCAAGTATTGCCCCTCCATACTCAAAAAAAAACCCCCCACCCCCTCCCCAGGTATCGTCCCTCCATGCTCAAAAAAAAAAAATCCCCTACCCCTCCTCAGGTATCGTCCCTCCATATCAAAAAAAAAAATTTCGCCCCCCCCCTTTCAAAATCCTAGATCCGCCACTGTATTTATTGATTTAATTAGTAAGATCAAGATACAAATCAGAAGTAATAGCTTAGCATGTTAAAATTCGATAATCTCACTTAAATGACTTAGTCTTTAGACAATTTTAATAACTAAGTACATTTGAAAAACATACCATGATAAGATAAACACTTGAATATCATTGTTTGAACTTATCAGTTTGTTAGTAGATGTGTAATCAAGAGTTTTTGAGATCATAAGTATTTTTCTCAAATAATCTTATTCAAAAATTCTCAAAACGAAAGCATTACCAACTACTAGCCAATGGAGCTATTTAGTTTTCTGACATTTATCAATAGACAAGCTGGTTTGATGGGTTCAGATGAAAGTTACGCTTCTGCTTTGTAGCATGCAGCGAATGTTTAAAAATTCCAATCAATTTTTAAATATACTTACAACAATCGAATCTTCGACATAAATATTAATTGGTAGAAAAAATACTTATAATCTTGTTTCGTCAAGATTAGTTGTCATTTCAAAACAAAGTCGTTCACAAAAAGCTATTAGACATGGTTCATCATCCGTATGCTACAATACAAGATTTTATTAAAAGAACCAAATAATTATTTTCATTTACATGCAGAAGATGATCAGTTATATTATGAAGTGCAACTCTTCTCTATGAGAAAGAGAATAAATTCATTTCTTGTTTTTATGTCAGATGGAACAGAATTTTAAGATGAATCTAATGGAGAATAAGTAAATTAAATTATTAAATACGTTAATAATTTATTTTGGATGTCTGGACTTATGCAAGTACAAAAATTTTCTAATTGATCATTCACTAATTAAAAAACAAAATTATTTTAAAGTAAAAAATTTCTACCTTATTTTATTAGATTTGTTAAATTGAAGATTTATGTTAAATATTGATGTATTTTGTTGAACATTAATATGTTTGTTAATAAAACTTGAAATGATTTTTTTTCAAACACCATATAATAATAAATGTTGAATTTAATAATAAATTAAAATTCATTGCAATTAATTAAATTATTAAATAAAGAAAGTTAGAGTCTTCACCTTGAGTTATATAATTATTGATAAGATCTATTTGAGAATAATAAAGCCTTTAACCAATTTGTTTTCTTTGAAAATTAAACCGAATTTTTCATAAATACTTGTATCTTCTTGTAAATCTTATTTCTTGAGAAATACATTTTGATGATTTTATGTTTAACTTCAATTTGTTCTTCTTCTTCTTGTTGAGTATTATCAATTTTTGGAATTTGGTAAAAAAAACATTTTCATTAAAAGCTTGATCAATAAATGCATAATTATTAATTTCGCTAGAGTCATTTTGTAAATTTAAAGAATAATTAATTAATATTACAAATGATAAATATTCTAATAAAACTATTTTATTAATTCATTCATTTTTATCATTTTGAAAATAAAACGACTGGCTAAAAGGTTATCAAATGTAATTCGATGTTGTTTAATAGATGAAGAACTTCTGTTATCACCTGAATCTGTATTCATTTGTAATTTTCCCAGATCAATTAGAATACTTTTATTTGACTATGAATTCATTAGAATAAGTAATTGTGAAGCATTTAATGTAAAATCCGTTTTATATTCAATTGAATATTTATCATACTTTTGTAAAATCAATGAAAGAAAACTTGGTTAATTACAAAATGTATATCTTTATCTTTTTGATGTTGTTGATTTGTTTGAAATGAATTAATAAATGGTGATAATATAAGTTGAAGATATTTGTAAAGAAAAAGAAAATTCTATTTTTGAACTTGACCTTGAATCTTGAGTGTGTGTGAGTGAGTAGAATAGATATAATACACTCTTCTATTGAACCATTTGGTTCAATATCGTAAGTTTTTATATTTGCTAATGCTTCAATTATTTCAAATAAAATATGTATAAATTCTTCTGTATAATATGTTAAATATAATAATGCATATAACGAAATAATATCTATCTAAAATAAATAAATAAATAATTTAATATAAAATTTTACTTTCGAAACAATAAAACTGAATTAAAGTTGTATTATTTGTTGTCGAGATCAGTTTAAATTTCAATGCGTTTTTCAATATTTTGCTTTCCTTCTTGAAGAATTTTTTGAATAGATATTATTTTTTCAATTGTTTCATATTGTTTTTTTCATTTGTTAAATGGTTTTTATCTTTTGATTTTAAATTTTGTTAGTTTTAAAAAAGAATATAGAATAAAAAAAAAAGAAAAAAAAAGACAAACTTGATTTTGTTTTCGTTGTTCTTGATCAAATGTTTGTCGATATAGAACTGTTTTCATTAATTGTAATAAACTAAATAAATGTGTATCGGATATTCGACATTTAATCGGTGAAGTATTTCCATTTGCTTTCCGATTTAAAATAAATAATAAATAACTATCGCTCATTTTCTTTTTCACACTAGATACAAGGATCTCATAATATTCCGAAGCATCTGGATATATATTCAATTTCATAAATATGTATAGGAAGAAAGCTTCTTGGTTGCTTTGAATATTTTTATCTTACTTCTAAGGATAAAAAAGAATAAATGTATGTTATTTTACTTTTTCCTCAAACTTAAATATAAGACTCCAGACATATTATCAAGTATATCCATATATTTTTGAGTGCGTCTTTGCTTTCAGTAATCACCCTATCCAGTAATTGTAAGGCATTTAGTTTTTACTCTAAAATACGAAAA